TCGTCGTCGGTCGTCTCTCTACGTACTCTCTTCTCTCCTCTCTCTACTCTACGTTATCTACGTCTCTCTCTCTCTTCTCTTACTCTACTATACTATCGTCGTCCTCTCTCTCTCTCTCTCTCTCTCTCTCTCTCTCTCTCTCTCTCTCTCTATCTATCTATCTATTTATATATCCATCCATCCATCCATCCATCCATCCATCCATCCATCCATCCATCTATCCATCCGTCCGTCCATCAATCCATCCATTTATATCTATCTATCTATCTTTCTATCTATCTGTCTATCTATCTATCTATCTATCTATCTATCTATCTATCTATCTATCTATCTATCTATCTATCTATCTATCTATCTATCTATCTATCTATCTATCTATCTATTTATCTATCTATATATATATATCGATTTATCTATCTATTTATCTATCTATCTATTTATTTATCTATCTATCTATCTATCTATCTATCTATCTATCTATCTATCTATCTATCCATCCATCCATCTATCTATCTATATATCTATCTATCTATCTATCTATTTATCTATCTATCTCAGTCGCTCTCCTTTCCCCCTTTCTCCCCTCTTTCCCCCTCCCCCTCTCTCACTCTCCCTCTCTCTCTGTCTCACGCTCACTTACTCTCTCTCTCTTTCTCTTTCTCGCTCTCTCTCTCTCTCTCTCGCTCCCCGTCTGACTCTATGTATATAATAATGTATATTTATAGCCTATATATAGTCGTATATATTCTAAAGAAGTTGGTAACATCGTACCACACCCTATTCTACATTAACTCGCTTGCGCGGATATATCATTGGTATTTAAATATCACATTGACTTAAAAGAATGTCCATCATTATATTGCAAAAATATTATAAATATAGATTGAGTGCTACCGAAGTTATTTTCCGGTATAAATCATTGAAATGTGCCTGTATATTCACATTCATGGCATTGATTATATTTTTGTCAATATGCTTCTAATAAATGTCTGTAATATATGTTAATTTACCCACATTCTCTCCGTTTCCGTGCATGCGTACTAAATGCACATCGAGTTATTACATCGTATATAAAATAGCTGTCGCGTCATCACATTCTAATAATTCATCTAGACTAAGGGGAGTCAGATGTAGCGATGCTAGCCATACTATGCGTACAATGCCTGATGCTAATGATACACAAAACGTTATTAACAAAGCATGAACCATTTTAAACAAGGTATAATCAAGCACACGGGCCTTGTCGTGATATCCGCGCACATTTCCCACCTTGTCCACGGTCTCTTGGCATCACACCATTACCCACAGCACTATCAAATATTTATTGATTGAACCATACGTCACGATCGCAGACGCAGTAATAGTCAGAATGCCTAGCAGGCAGGCTGTTATTCCGTATCATATTAGAACTAAATCACACTAGAGTTAGATCATTATTTTTGGAATAGAATTGTCCGATCAAATAGAAATACAGAGAGAGAGAGAGAGAGAGAGAGAAGGAGAGAGAGGAGGGAGAGAGAAGGAGGAGAGAGAGAGGGAGAGAGAGAGGGATGGGGAGAGCGCGGGACAAACATACAGACAGACAGTAAGAGAGTTTGGGGGAGAGCGGGACAAACAGACAGGGAGAAAGAGCGAATGCGGGACAAACAGACAGACAGACAAGAGAGATGAGAGAGAGACAGAGAGAGAGAGAGAGGGAGATCAGAGAGAAAAGAAGAGAAGAGAGAGAGAGAGGAGGAGAAGACGAGCGCGGACAGACAGACAGACAGATGAGAGCATACGGAGGCGAGCAGGCGCGGGACAAACCAGACAGAAGAGAGAGGAGAGAGCAAAGGAGAGGGGTGTCGGCGAGGAGAAACGGGGACAGACAGGACGAAGAGCAGGATGGAGAAGAGAAGAGAGAGAGAGAGAGAGAGAGAGATGAGATGAGAGAGCAGAAGAGTGAAAAAACAATAGAAAGAGAGAGCAGAGAGAGTGAGAGAGAGCAGCGAGCGAGAGGAGAGAGAGAAGAGAGAAGAGAGAGAGAGAAGAGGAGAGACGATGATGAGAGAGAGAGAGAGAGAGAGAGGATGAGAGACCGCGGGGATAGAGAAGCGTGATGAGAGCGAGATCCGAGCAATGCAGAGAGAGAGAGGGAGAGGATGGACAGATGAAGCGGAACAGACAGCACTGAGACGAGAGGGGAAAGTCGCGGAACAGACGATCAAAGAGAGGGGTGAGAGAGAGAGAGAGAGAGAGAGAGAGAGAGAGAGAGAGAGAGAGAGAGAGAGAGAGTATGTGTGTGTGAGACCGAATTTACAAAATAATTTGAGAGATCGTAATAAGTTCAAGCGTCGTGCGATGTATATATCTATATAATATATAAAGTTGTTGAGTTTGTGTGTACTCTTATAACTAGAGAACTACGCAGCCTAGCCGAAAACTGAAGATATATTCAGAATCAGCACGTCTCAGAGGTGGTTCTAGCTAAAACAAAATTGTTAAAAAGTTAAAAAGTTAAACATTGAAAAAAAAAAACGAATTTACTATTCGTCAATAGATGGCGGTGCGTACAGCTTAACATCTCGGATGACTGAATGATGCTTTCTACGCACAACGCCTCACTGGTCAAATGGATAAGCCATCGGTCTCCTAAACCGGGCATATAGGCCTCGAGTCCCACCTGGGGAAATCTTTTGTTTCTTTACTTTTTGACTGTTTAGTATATTATGTATTCCTGCCGCTTCACCGTTAATTTCAAAATTTCAAAATTTGTACTACATTTAAAAGTTTAGTAAAAATCCAGAATAAACTACGGTAGATAATAATAATAGCGCGAATTGAAGGGAAGGCTTCACTGAAGCCTATGTAGGTTACAGATCAAATATATTTTAATTATTTTTCTATGGTGGGCTGAAATTCCCCAAATAAAATGTCAAAAACGTAACAAATCTATATATATCAAGTTGTTCCATATAAAAACCATATAAAACCCATATAACTATATAACAACCAAGGGCGTAATGCTACGAGAAAAGTAAATATTATATATCTGATTTTACCATGCATACCTGCTGGCAGCCCGCCTGGCTCCACGTTGACCGTATAAAAATGGCCAAAGAAAATTATCTTAGCAGTCAACGGCGACCGATGTCCTATTCCCCATCTAATACATATTTGTCAATGTGTGTCTGTTTGTCTGTTCTCGATGCAAATCTATACGGAGCACTCTAGAAATGTCAAAGACGTTCAGTAGGGGTACATGTTTGTGCTGAATGTCATGGGCACATTCGATTTAACCTCCGAGGTTATCTAAGCCAAAAAAAAACGGAAAAACGGGAAAATATACTGGCCCCTGCAGGAGCATTATATAAAGGCGCCTCTGAAGTTGCACTAAATAAACGGGATTCACTTTGCACTGACTTGCATTACTGTACAATGTGCGTTACATTTCGTTACTATACATGCATTATGTTACATCCGCCATGTCCAGGTCATGGTCGGTAAATAAATCTCTAGGTAAAATATCTCTTATTTTATTACAAAATGTGAAATGACTATGAATGTTAATTATAGGCTCTGCATCTGTTTTTCTATGACGCTTTTTTCCTTTATTGATTTGATAAAAAATGTTTAGCCATCACAAACAGTTTGTGGACCAAATAATTTCTTAGCCACCAAAAACAGTTTGCAGATCTTAAAAAATAACGTTACAGTAACGTAAATACTAACGTTATATTAACGTAATTGTGTCGGTTTTTTTAACGTTATCAGAACCACGCACAAGAACGTTATTTTCAAGTTTTTAGTACGTTAAGAAAACGTTCTTTTTAACGTTATAAAAACGTTATAAAAACCCGACACAATTTCGTAAATATAACGTTGGTGTATAACGTTATCCAAACCAAAACATAACGTTAAAATAACGGTATGTGAACGTTTTTGTATTAGCTGGATAGATAGATAGATAGATAGATAGATAGATAGATAGATAGATAGATAGATAGATAGATAGATAGATAGATAGATAGATAGATAGATAGATAGATAGATAGATAGATAGATAGATAGATAGATAGATAGATAGATAGATAGATAGATAGATAGATAGATAGGATAATAGATTAGTTAGATAGATACGATTAGATAGATAGATAGATAGATAGATAGATAGCATAGATAGATAGTAGATAGATAGATAATAGATAATAATAGTAGATAGATAGATAGAGTAGATAGATAGTAGATAGATAGATTAGATAGATAGTAGATAGCATAGATAGATTAGATAGTTAGATAGCATAGATAGATAGATAGATTAGATAGATAGAATAGATAGATAGATAGATAGATAGGATAGATAGATAGATAGATGATAGATAGATAGATAGATAGATAATAGATAGTAGATTAGAATAGATAGATAGATTAGATAGATAGATAGATAGATAATAGATAATATAGATAGATGGATAGATAGATAGATAGATAGATAGCATAGCATAGATGTAGATGCTGCATTACATACATTACATACAGACCATTACATACATACATAGTTTACATACATAGCATACATAAGCATACAGTAATACATCATACATTACATACATTACATACATTACATACATACATACATACATACATACCTACAGACATACGAATACATACATACATACATACACACACACACAACACACACACACACACACACACACACACACACACACACACACAACACATACATACATACATAGATACATACATACATACATACATACATACATACCATACATACATATGTATACACTACATACATTACATATCATACATACATACAAATAGATTAGCATACATAGAAACACTAGATAGATACATAGATAAATAGATAGATAATACATACATTACACTAGATACATTTTTAGGGGATAGGCCTACATAGATACCGGTACATACATAGATAAATATAGATAGATATTTTTTGGCCGGCATTTCCGCTCTTCAACCAATGTGGCTCACCAAACTGAGCGCTTCATTTCTCGGCAACGCCAGGTATGTCCTGCCCTCAGTATATATATATATATATATATATATATATATATATATATATATCATATGGTTTATATGGAACGACTCCTGAAGTTAACGCGCTTCCAAATTAATTATTAAATTCATTTAAAGCTGCTAGTGCTGCTAGACAAAGCCTGGCATGACAACTTGGCATGGTAATGTCACTAATGTGAATATTATTGGGTCTATGTTTGTGTCTGATGTACAATTTATATCAATGAGAGGAGGAGCGAGAGGATATATAACTGAGGAAAAAATAACGAACACGAAAGGAACAAACATAGGAATTTATAATTAAAATAAACAAATAAATAAATAACTTAATAAATGGATAAATATGTAAACGTCAATTTACATATCATGTCAGTTAAAATAAGTGTTTATTCCTATGGTTTATTCACATTAAAAATCAAACAAACAACAAAATCAAAAAATCAATCAACAACTCAAAAAAATCAATCCGCACTTTTATTACATTATTGTCCCTGAAGGTGGCGCGCAAAATAAAACCGCGATTTGAAATATTATTTTTGTATGGTTTGTTTGCGCTTATGTACCTATCCACATGTGTTGAACTGAAGTCTCATAGCTTTCAATGTCGTTTGTAATATTATTATTATATAACAATATTCTAAAATAATGTCGAGAATAAAACTTGCCTGATCCCATCGTTTCATTGTAATGTATTGTAGTAGGCCTAGTGGCGCTGTAGACTGTAGTACGTGACTTGGTACTACTACTACCCAAACATGATGGGGCGACAAAAGCCTGAAAAGGTTGGTTTAAAAGTGTATGGTCGCAAGCAGCGCGTGGACACGCGCATTTCCTGGACAAAGGTTTCATCTAATGTGTTTTCCACGGACGAGTCTCCTTCGACAAGTGAAGCGTCATCCGCTGAACATGATGAGCGGCTGTCTGCAAATGAATCCAGTGAATTAACTAGGACCAGGGGGCCGTTTGCACCATTATCGGTATTGAACAAAATTACCTTGTTTTGCGTCTATTGCTATGCAGTTCGCACAGGAAAGCCGTTTTTATTGGTTAAAAAACAAGCTATTGCAGTATTGAGATTGGTCATTTTCAATTCGCGTACGTGTGAGTCGACAGTGTCAGTCGTGTATAGTTCAATTCATTATTTACAGCAGTGTTTCCCTTGGCCAAAAAGGTCTGTGAGGTGGTAAACATTGTTGTTGGTGTGTTTGCGCGTTTCGTGATCCTAGCAAAGCGAGCACCGCAGATGCTGACCCAACTAGGGGGGTCCAGGGGCATGCCCCTGGAAGATTTTTGAAAAAATGGTGCAATTTGGAGCATTCTAAGCTATTCTGAACACATTATATGAGACTCTTGATTCTCTTTTTCAAGTTGCCAAAAGTTTCGTCAGCGAGGCGGTGTTTTGGACAAATTTCTGTGTGTCACTGGCGGCTGAGAATTTGAGCGAGGCGGCCCTACTTGCTATGCAGGGGAAACACTGCACAGTATTTGTAGTTGTTACTGTGCCTAATTACAAAAAAGTATCGCTGGAATGCATCTTTTAACGAAGCCTAGGCTGTGGCAATACAGTACGTGTACTGGTACTGATTACTTGTATCTTGTTTTTAGGACAGCAGTAACAACAGCGATGGTATCTTTGGTGCCATTCCTCGCCGTGGAACCAATTACGCAAGAGCCAACACAAGACGAGGAAGACGCGGTGGCAACAGAAAAGAGAATAGACCAGCTATGCAATTAAGAAAGCGAGATAAAAGTGCTGACACAAAATATGTTAACGAATCTTCTACGAATCTCCAGGGTGGGATTACCTCTAAACATTTGCCACTACGCCCGGTTAAAGATAAACCTATTATGACCGCTCTGACGCAGATGCAACTGGGTGAGTTGAACTTTGACGAATTTGATGACTACAGTCTTGTGGTTACGAATACGCCAGAGCGTAGGAATAAAAAGCCATCCGAAAGCACCGTTAATACCACAGGCGAGCTATTCAGCGTCGGGTGCTCGGAAAATGAAGGGCAACCTGCTGCTGTCTCGTGGCTGGATGGCAGCAGAGAACAACGTTGTCACTTTGCTGAGCAGACTCGTTCTCGGGTGGCTGCGGAGACTGACGTCAGCGACTCTAGCCTACCGCAGCGTTTCGTGCGAAAGAGCAAACGTTTACTGTGCATGAGCATGGGCAGCAGTGCGTCTGCAAGTCGCGGTGAACGAATCCACACGCAGGCTAGTGGCCTCATGGGAACCAGCACCCCGTTGCAGCACGCAGTCTTAATGATTCGCGGCCAACAACTGCCCGGAGTTGGTCTCAGTCCAGTTCCACTAGCCGAAGAGACGCACGCAGAAGACGAGGAATCGGTGTGCTTTCCCGAGAGTCCAAGTCTTGTGCATGACGTGGCATCGCGGGAAGTAGTCGACTGCGAACCTTGCGGGCAGTGCTCGCAGAGCGGACGCGAACAGTGCGATTGCCGTTACAAACGCGTCACGTACAGACCGGCCCCAGTGGCGCGCTCTTCGTACGGAAACTCTCATCGCAACTTCAGCTTCGAGCAGTTGCGATCCTCGATACACTCGATACAGTCCGGCACAGACCATCTACTAGGCAGCGGGCGAGTGACGGAGCGACGCCGGCGCCCCCACGCCGGCGTCGTGCCTGCACTTCTGGTCAGTAGCAGCATCGCCGCGGAGTCCCTGGGCGACTCTCGGCGACAGTCGCGGAGGCACGCCCGATACCTCACCCGCAGCGCCGTGATTCTCCAGGCGTCCACCGAGCTATTCGACGTCAGCGTGGCGTCGCCGACGGTCGCCGAAGACGACGGAAAACTCGTGCGCGGCGCGACGGCCGGCACTGACGCGCTCGATCGGTTGGACGCCGACGTCGCCATCGACACTGACGACTCTCGAGCGAGCCGTGCCGAGACGGAGGAGGCGCTCACGTGCCAATCACGCTGCAGCGCTGACGAGTTAGAGACAGAGGGCGCCAGCGAGCTCGCCGAAGACGACGGGCGGGAGGCTGACGACGGCGCCGACGACGCGAACTCGACTCGCTACATGCTGAACACGGACGTTGAGACGGCGGTCGCCATGATGTCTGCGTGCTCCCTGTTCGAGTCGCCTCACCCGTCGCAGCGGTCCGGAGTTCGAGGAGCGGACGATGTTCGGCCGAGCGACGCTGCGGACGAGAGACTTGAGGACGAGGTGGACGACGCAGGCAGCGATGTCGGGATGCTTTCGCGGGATCGCTCAGTCAATCAATCGGGATTCGTAAGTTTGTCATTTCGCCCTCCATCACTGACTTCTATATTCATTTAGTTTCGATTGTTTTAATTTTATTAGCATTGTCTTGCTTAACTAATATGTTACCTCTAAAATGTAATTCATATTAGTGTAAACAGAGTAAATTGAATCGAATTCAATTGTGCATGGCTGTGACTGCACGCGCATTGCTATTCATTGTATCAGGAGTGTATAATATAGATGTTAGTATAGTATAAATAGATGTTAGTAGAGTGTATAGTATAGGATGTTCGTCACAATGCAGATGTATTGTGAAAGTGAAAGTGACTATGAATCTTAAATTAGTTCACTCCTTACCCAGCAATGGCTAGTAAATAAGTATTTTGTTTGCATGCTTGCATTTCGTTGTATATCAGTCTACACTTGTAGCTTGTAACTCACTTGTTTGTTACCCATGTACACGTAGACATAATCAAGAACAATTCTCTTGTATAACGGCTTTTGTTTCACGTAACTGTCTACGTGGTATTTTTGCAGGAACGCCAAGCTCCGTGCCAGCTGTCGGCGAGAGAGAGAGTTCTTGATGAATGCGAACAGGAGGATTACATCTCCTTTTACAAATGCTTATCTTCCAGGTGTGTGAGGTTGGCTTTGATGTGCAAATTTTATCTTTCGTGTGCTAATGACATGAGTAATAATTGCCAATGATTGCATTAATTGCAAGCTTAACATTATTAGTGCACAAATATTAACGATGTTTTCCTGCCACTTAGTCCTACGTATGACTTCGATAATTTTCCAACTTACGGTATAACACTATTACGTACTTGCGAATCTTTTACAGTTAATTGTTTCTGTTATTTGTCCATCAAGTCTTGCATGCATGTTTGAATTCTTGTAGAATGATGAAAACGAGTAGAAAGATCGGGGAGGGTGTTTACGGCGAGGTGTTCCGTGTACAAGACGCGGACAAGCACGATGTCGCCGTGAAGATCATTCCCATCGAAGGGTCCGACATCGTTAACGACGAAGCTCAGAAAACCTTCAGTGAGATTCTTCCAGAGATTGTCATCTCTAGGTATGTAAGTCTGCCGAGCTGCATGTGTAGAAATCCTCAAGAGTACGTAAACTCTAGTTAAAACTACGATGGATTGGCTCTTGAGTGTCTTCAGCAATGTTGTCGGTAAACCACTGTTTATGTATTGCAGACATCATGTGCATCATAGTTTACACTACCTGGTAACTTTAGCTAAGCACTTATGAGATTTGTGGTTAACAGCCCTTATAGCTGGATCAAAATATAATTTTGTGCCTTGTTTAGAACACAAATTCTTGTAAGATTGCTTAGTTGATTAATTAAAAAAATGAAGAATGTGATGTGTTATTATGAGTATCACGTGAATAGCCAGCAGTAAAACTAAAACTCGCACGTGGAAATTTGATTTTTAGAGAGCTGAGCAGCTTGCAGTGGGCGAATAACAATTGCACTCCGAATTTCACAACTGTTCGACGTGTCAGCTGTGTTCAAGGCGCCTACCCATCTAAACTACTACAGGAGTGGGACAGCTACAACAAGAGAAAGGGCTCTGAAAACGACAGGCCAGGTAAGTGCAGAATCGTTTGGAAGTGAGCAATAATGTCAGTTAGATTGTGTGCCTGGCGCCATCTATCTGCTAAACCTCTGATGCATACGAGTGGATTTTGGTCAGACCAGCTGTCGTGCTTCCAAATGTCTTCTAGCAGGTTACCCACTTGCTATTGATTCAAAATCATATCCTCCACACACACACACACACACACACACATACACACACACACACACACACACACACACACACACACACACACACACACACACACACGTAGTATACTACGACGTCGTTAGGTTACGGTACGTAAGTTAACGTAAACGTTACGTTAACCGTAACGGTTATACGTACTACGTTACGGTTACTTAACTTACTTTA